GCAATGTAACTCACAGCCACTTTCGTACTATTATTTATCATAAGCTATCTATACTCCTTTTTCACCTATTCATTCGGGCTATATTCATTTTCAATCGGCGTGTTTCTACATCGCATATTCGTATAAAACGGACGGCTGCTTTGCAAACTCTGCCCTTCAGGACGAGAGTGATGTCGTGCCGTCACTACCGCAGGTGGCGGAGATTGGCAAAAGTGCTTCGAACTTTTGCTATGCGGTTTGTTATCTTATCTTCGATTCCATTGACATTGATATAGCTGCCTAGATACTCGAATTTCTTATCGATTTCAAGCTGATCTCTACCACATTTGGCACAGGGATTGGTCCCTGCCAATCTTGGAGTAGGACTGCACTTCGAGGGTGCAAAGCATAGCCCGAAACGACTGACATCCAATGCTAATTTGTCCATCGCTACTTGACACGTTTGAAAGCTGTCATAGATAAGGGCAATGTCGTTGGCGTACTCCAAGTCAAGAAGTTGGTCACTAGGGAGCAACTCCACGCCTTGAGGTCGTGTCCAATGAACACAGTTTAAATGACTTCGTCAATTGAAAAGCTAAAAAGGAAAGGTGACAGCGGGCATCCTTGTCTCACACCACTGGAGATGTTAAAGGGTGGCGACAGTTTTCCGTAAGCCCTCACGATGCCCGAACAGGATGAACAAAGCGCTCTAAATAGTATCTACATATTTCTCGGGTACACGTTTCCTAAATTAACAGTTATATAGGGCACCTCGATACTCCATATCGAAGGCATATTTGGTGCTGAGGAACACGGCTACGGTGACTGGCTGATAAATATGGCGGTGCTCCAATAATTGGTGTAATGTGCAGATGTGATCAATGCAGTCGCGATTGCGACGCAACCCGGTTTGCTGCTCGCGTACTTTGTTTTCACGTGTGCCGACAAGTCTATGTAGACCGATAGAAACGAGTATCTTAGGGGCAATAAAGATCAGACTGATACCTTTACCGCATTCCGACCGTGAGCCCCTTGAACATTGGGGCTATTATCCAGCACCACCAGTCTGCTGGGACAGTTTTCTGCTCTCACCTTCACAAGTAAGTTGTGCAGATCATCTATTAGAGCAGGCACCCGAATATAAAGAGCGTTGGAGAAATTCTATCCACTCATGCAACCTTATTCACTTTCAACAGTCTGATCTTACTTTCGACTTCTGCGCGTGAAGGCGGATCCAGGGGGTCGGCCTAGGGAGAAGGACAATCAATGGCTGAAGGGGAAGACGTATATATATATATATATATATATATATATATATATATATATATATATATGAATTGTCGGCTGATTGCGACAAACAAAAGTACTCATATATAATGTTCGCGGTCGATGGACAGGGTTGGAGGTGGCGGTGTGATGGACAGCCTACGACTTGGAGAAGCAGAATGAAAAAAGCTGACAAAACAGCTGGTCACAGTTGGTTCCTCCCATTTCTCTGGATGGGGTCCCAAGGATGCTGAGTGCAGTTTGTTGGAAACCATGGGAGTCATGGGGGACGTGTAACTCTGATTGTCGCTGTGACTCCCCTTCCCTCCCCCAATAAAAATACATCCAAAAAACTGTGAGTGGTAAATGGACAAAAATATCACTTGTTTTCTCTTTTCTTTTACTCTGGCCCTGTTTTCCTATTCCGCGGTCCCGATGGCACAATATCTGTAAGCAGATGATATATATATATATATATATATATATATATATATATATCGCCGGCCAGAATGACATTGTGACTTTTTAGCGGCACGCACTAGCTCACGTAGCTGTTAGTAAAAGCACTCTTTGACTGCATCCGGGCTGCAGTCTGTAGGAGCGTAGGTGGAGATGCCAAACTAGGCACGCGTACCATCTCAACGCTTAGTTACTTGTAGTCTGATTGCACATAGCCGACTGTTGACTGGGATCCAGTCAAGCAAAGCGACCTCAGCCCCGTTACTCAGTGCAACCCCGACACCAGTTTAGCCAGAAGCGGCGGCCTCTGAGTCTCAGGAAAGGCGCAAATGGTATTTGACCTCAGCGTTTGCCGGAGATGTCATTCTGACAACGGTACTGGCCTCTTGCAACCTGGTTTCCGAAAGACAACAGATGTTCACCAAAAGTATCTCAAGTGTGCGTGCCAGACATGCTTATCGTCCGATTTGCATCAGAGTGCGCACATTGAACACTGCAAGGTCGAATGAAGAACTAGGACGAAAGAAAGCTTGGGCTTCGGTTGAGTGTGTGGATGTGTGGCCACCGGGCAACGAACACCAAACGTTTGGCTCAGAACTCTGTCAGATGCGACCAGTGAGCTGTTGTTGACAGTGACTCGGGAGAACATACGTGCAGTTGAGGAACGGGACGTGGGATAATCTGTGAGCGGATGTTGAGCAGCAGTGACAGTAAAGCCAGTAGACAGCAATAGTGTAATCCATCCATGGTTTGTCAGTGGGCCTGATACTACCCGGTTGCCCCGGTCGAATTAGAGGGTTGTCTTAGGGAGCCGCACTCCGAGCTTTTTGATCCGGAATCTAACCTACAAGGCAGCAGGGCGATATGAGGCCATTGCAACTCGTTGGGAGCCGGCGATCAAACAAGTGGATCATACAGCTTTAGGACCGCATAGTACCAGGGGCCCAACATACCCTTGAATTACAATGCCGCTGGGGCAAAGGGCAGTGACTTTATTTAGTGGCAAGTCACATCCGCCACGTCACAGTGTTGTTAAACTGACATATGTGGTTTTTTATGGGGAGAACGCTTGCCAGGCGAAAACCCACCACGTCCTGGAACACTGCCGCCAACCCATTCGATGGAACGGGATAATCCCGAACCACCCAGCTGGCATCACGAGGTTGTTCGGCAACCCCGCCAGAACGGGAAGATAGTAACTCTAGCTGACTAAGCTGCTTTTCAAGGTGTACGACCCAACGCTTCAAGCGTTTTGCTTAACGGTTAATCGGCCGTCAATCCTCGACACGTATGGTCTCTCTTACACCAGGTCTCTGCCCGTTTCGGCTATCAAACGGAATAACTTCCGATGGTTACCAAGGGCAGCGTCCGTTTCCATTTCCAATGGAAGATGAGACCACCACTCCTCGCGGTCTCTCTTCAGGCTAGCATTGAGTTTCGCCCAGAGGTCCTTGCGAGTCTCGCTGTGTTCGCTCTCATCCGGAATGCGTCGGCGAGCATCCAAAAGTTCCAGAGACTGCATAGAAATCAAATGTTCAGACTGGCAACTTGATTTGTCTCATGACGATATTCCGGCTGCTAATAACGTCTCTTGTATATGCGACCATTGGCTCTCTACTGTGTTCAGTGGGTGTTTACTCAGCCCGGATGCCAGCTTGCTTTGATACGCATTCAGGAGATTTGGCTTCGCCAGCTAGCATGTATCTATGCACCTACAGCGACGCTGCATGCACCCACCGAAGCGAACTGTGAGATCGGCACAAACGAGTGCGTGACCAGAGTCCACGCTGGTGCTCCAAGTTGAGTGACAGTTTGTACACAGCCTCTCTAGCGGTAACTGATTGTGATGTGGCTTATTTGCGTCCATGGCTGGTTTGAGGCGAGTGGGCACCCTCTCACCCTTATGCGGATGCTGTGACTAAACTTTGTGCTCGCGAGAGAGACGAGCATCTTCACATAGGTGTAGTAACTGCTCACTGTTGTCATTACGGGATCCTACGCCGTGTCGGCCGCCTAGATGCAGCTCATCGGAGGACAATTTTTCAACTTGGACGTTCAAATTGCCATCCAGCACCACAGTTTCCGTACCTTTTTAGTAACGAAAGAGCCGTCCAATCTAACGGCGCACATCCGGCTTTTGATTGGGATCCAGTCAACTGGAGCGGCTTCGGCCCGTGGAGTCAGAACAATGCCCACACTGGCTTGACCAGTGTTTGAAGCTGCGTTACCTGCAGGTAAACGCAGTGAGAACATGTCGCTCAAGGATGATCGCAGAATAACCACGGAACTCGGATTTTGCAGGCGGGTTTCTGACAAGCAGCGGATGTCGATCAACAGAGTCTCTAGTGTTCGGGCAAGTGCTGTTTGTTGGTTAATCTGAAACTAAGTGCGCATGTTGAGGCTTACCAGTCTTGGCGAGGATTGGGGCTCCGAAGATAAACGAATTAACTGACGTTGTCCTTTTGGTTGAACGTGGACTTGTCGACTGGACTGGAGCGACGCCCTGCGATTTTGTGTGAGTCGCAACTAGAAGACTAGTACTCATTTAAGCAAAATGGGGGAGGACCGAGAATTGGATAGTTGAAAACAAGGGAGATAAAAGTGAACTTGGAGCGGGACGATAAGGATGAAAAAATACAAGAGTGCGGATAGGGCGACGGGAAGGCTTGAGTAGTAGCATCCAGACCCCTATCCACTCTGCTCGATGCAGCAGATAGGGCGCCGTTTATTGTCCTCTGCGACGGTCGGAGCATCACGAAATCTGGAGGGACGTTCATATAATTGTATTTTGCGGGCAGGCTACTGTCAGATTGCCCAGGCCTAGACAAGAGAACGATTAAGGTTCTCAACCAAAGCATTTAGTTCAGAAACCTGACCACAAGGCAGCGGACTTTTGGCATTAAGCTACAGTCTGTTTTGTAGTGTAAGAAACCACCCTCATTCCAACTTCTATCCTGGAGAGCCAGGAGTTTGTCTAGCCTCTAATCACTGACCAATCTTTTATAAGTGTCTTTGAAGATACGAAAAGCGCCTCCCAGCATAGATCACTGGATCGCTAAGGCACGCCAATCATCGTACCACGGTAAGGTTTTCTTCTCGGCGCAGTGGAGCCTAGAATAGAAGGCTATTCTCATTTCCTCGTCACTTTGCTTTCTCATTTCGTCTTGTGTCGTTAAAACAACCATCTTTGCATGTTTTCGCCATCCATCAGTCACCTCAGGTTCGGCGCTCCATCGACATCCGTGACAATGCAGTCTAGCTCGCCACAAGTCGCACCCTCCATCCAGCCCCGACTTATGTGGTACTTGTGGTGGAACTATCCAGCCGTCTACGAAGTATCTGTTTTGTCTTTCAGCCCACTCGGTCTATTGCGACCCACATACGCACCGGACACGGAAGACCTCGGAACCCTCGGCCGGACGCATACTATACCAACACTTGGGTTTGCAAATGTGCTACATGTTCCTCCAAACATATGCTTAGTCGTACCGCCTCTCCGTTTGAGTACCGTTGCCATATCTCTACGATTCATTATTTGAAGGTAACCTTTTCAGTAGACGAACCTTTACGGTGCATGTAGATGTTTGTCCTGTCAGCTATCTTGTTGCCTCTGCGATTGATAGCAACTGCGTTATCTTTTATGATTGCTTTGGGGCTTTCAAATATCATCATTTTTGGATGCGATTTTTCACTTTTAAAGCCGCACAATGATTTTAAACGGTTTGTTTCAGCTTTACCTTACATCAGTTTTTAGGCGACTCATTCTCCCCATGTTGGTTTTCATCTCAAGACTGGTTTACTTTGTTGGCGGTATACAATGGGTAGAAGTGAAGGGCGTTCGAGCCAAACGTTCTGAGGCTCCAATCTTAGTTTTGGGTCCGCACTCTTCGTTCTTGGATTCGCTGGCAGTTGTCATTATGGGTATGCCCTCTTGCGTTGCATTGCAATCCCACGCCAACTCTTTCATCGGTGGAATCATCAAGGTGCTTCAGCCTATTCTGGTCAGGCGAGAAGATCAGTACTCTAGAAGGAAGACAGCGGAGGCCATATGCTACCGTGCAAATTCAACAGATGCTTGGCCGCAATTATTAATATTTCCAGAGGGCACGTGTGGAAATCGTTCATGCTTGCTTTCATTCAAACTAGGTAAGTCTACAGCTAGAGTCACTGATATGCAGGCTATTTATTAGTATTTGTCATGTATATCTGATTACCTTCTGGTGGTGGTTTGTCGTACCTAGATATCTATCAGTAAGTTCGTCATCGGTGCCGCTGGATTGGTTGAACTATTGGAAGCAATCTTGGAAGACGGTGAACACCTGTCTGACCAACCTTCTCGGTCAGTCCACTCATCTCGGCTGATTACTAACACCAAGCTCTAGAACTTAGACTTATGGTAGGTATTTGGTGATATTTGCCAAACGAAACTCCGTCAATGCAGCCGTCTTAATTTCACCCAGAGGTCCTGCGCGGTACCAGATGGTTTTTGATATGAAACAAATGACGACGCTAGACCTTTTACACTAGTTGTTTTTACTGAATACGAACAGTACTGCACAAGCATCGTTTTCCAAATATAACTTGTTAGTTATAAGCGCTTGTTTACTTTGCTTGTAATGCATATGTTATCACTGGCCATGTTTTCTTTTTTTACTGCCCATACTGCTGGTTTTCTTACTCTATATCTATTCGAATGGATAGTTTCTCGAAGTCAACTCCATCATCAACAGCAGTACATCAGCCATTTGACTTGGTACTTCGCTTCTGTACAATCACAATTCAATAGAGAATGAAGAATAATAAATGGTGAAGAAGAGGATTCAACGTAAACATAACATTCAGTGCCAAGGCACCTACACCTTGTCAACAACAAGCGGCCACAAACAGTCATCGTGGAAAGATAAGGTGACATCGGCTCGACAGCCTCCTTGCGGTTTCCACTGCTCCGCTTCATAATGAGCCTTTACCCATCAGATAACTGTCTTGCTAAAGGCACGTGTTCACAACACCACTGTTCAGACGGTGTTGCTGCATAGAAGCGAGTCGTGGCCAGTTCGTGTGGACGACTTGCGCCGGCTCTTGATCTTCAACAATGGGTGCTTGGGGAGAATTGCTCATGTGTGGTGGCAAATCATTCATCATTATCATTATACACGTTAGCTGGAGGTGGGAAACACCTCATCTACTGTTACGCGATACATAAGAGAAAAAAGGGGAAATGCAACAGGTGCAAGCCATCTGAGCTACCGGTAACGGATGATGGCAAAAAGTTATTTAGAGCCACTAAACCACTTAAAATCAGTTAACGTGAGCATACGTTTTACCATAAAGTCTTGTAGCAGTAAAATACCGTTTCTTGACTGCTTAGTTCACAGGGATGGTTAACAGGGAGGTTTGAAAACGACAAAATACAGTAAGCTGACTGATACCGATGAGATGCTGTACTATACGTCAGGTCACCGAAGCACGTTTACGATGATATAGCCTTAGCCGTGTTCTACAGGACAATGGCCTTTTGAATGTTGGAGGAAAACAGAACAGTTACGCGGAAAGAGGCTATGAGGAAACTATTAGATAGTGGTTATACATGCCATTTACATAAAGTGCTAAGCCCACAGCCAAGGCCCACGGCGGAATGGATAGGAACAGTAGGAATTCTGTGCAAAAAAGGAACATCGTGGGCAATTCGGAGGGGCCAACCACCACATTCAACGCTAGTATATTTGAAGGACCCCAGTCCCTCGAATAGGAAAAAAAGCTGCGTCCACACAATTAAATGTAGAGACAGTGCACGTGTACCTTTGCTAAGACGCGAGAATGCTGCGCATACGTATTTCAGAGCACGAAATGCGCATTTCACTACCACCGACGAAGGAGTCTGAATACCAGGCACTGTTAAGAGACTCGGCCGTGAGAGTGCATTCGTTAGACACAGGTCACCAGGTCGACTTGGATAATGTAGAGATCATGAAGTGGGGTTTACGAACAGCGCCCCAGCAGTTGTTTGTTGAGGCGTTTGAAAATGCCAAATTAGACATTTGTGTGAATAGAATGGAGGAAAGTAGTACTCTGAAGTGCTTCTCGAGCGATCTTGAGCCGGCCAGTCTAACAAGCGTTGATGCGTGGATCAGATTGAATAGTGCAACTGTATTCTCCATTGTCAACTCTGGGTCTGTCTGTTAATGCCATGCACAAGGGAACATCTGGACTATTTTCATCGTGCCTGAACCACTTGGGATGTCATCCGATCTTTGGCTGTAATTACACCTTGGCTCATGTCTCTGATATCGCGATTATCGTCCCTGTTTGCTATAAAGTGCCGCTCCAATTGCACGCCGATTCACATGGCCTAACGAAGCTTTTGTGTCAGAAGGGAAACGCTGTCCAACAAACAAGTCAACCGATTGTTCCCAAACGTTTGAACTCAACCCAGAAGTGTTCACATTTCACAAGAGCCACGTTAGCTGTCCTCGATTGTAGTGCAGTCCCGCTAGCGAATTTGTAGGTCACTACGCACGTCGTATGTTGGACGCGAATGTTCCTAAAACGACTTGATGTAAACCATTGACTCAACTCATTTTGCTGTTGGGATACTACTTTTTTCTCGTGGTTACACTTTCTTCCGAACAGGGAGTTGTTCCACCCGATACGGGAAATGGTCATCAGGAAAGCTGGCGGTAGCGAAACTATGTGCGACTGCAATTCATAGCCTGTCAGAATGTTTAGAGCGTTGAACTGAGCACTTGGAAAACAATTTACTCTCCCGGAACCTTTAGATGCACTGCCGTCCGGTGCTCGTCTTATCTTTTTGGATCCGCCTTGTCCCTCGAAAGTCGGACGTGAAATCTGACTACTGGTGTTGAATGAGGCTGATACCATTCCCCCGACCCTCTTCAAATCCGAGCGACCTAATCTTGTGGAAGATTCGAACGATTTATGTGAAACTGTAGGAGCAAGAAACTGTCCCGACTGACTGAGGCTACTCTGTTATACTCTCAATTTTCAGGAGAGGTTTACCTACGAGATGCGGCAATTATAGATGAATCAATCTGCTCTGCATTGTCTGTCGCTCTTTACAGACTAATTGACACCCATGAAAGCCAAGTTCGTGAAGAATGGACCTGGTTTCGTCGAAATAGAAACTGCATTGACCATGTTTTTATTATGCGCTTTTCATTGGAGTACCATCAGTTGTATCGATGACCCGTCGTAGTCGTATTCATCGATATCATTGGTGCTCTTTGGGACTGTTTGATGAAGAAAGCTGTGCTCGCGAAATGGACAATTATTTTTCGAGCGCTTTACGCGCATAGATTGGGTAGAGTGGGGGCTTATGGAAAGCTGTCAGAGCCCTTCATTTTTCCAACGGGATGAGGCAAGAACTCCCGCCATCATCCTTCTTAACTTCGCCTTTGACTGAGTTATAGAAACTACGTTCGCTAGACACGACGTGGATAGGGTGGAACTGCTTCCAGGTGACTGCTTTCTACTAACGATGATGATATAATCTGTGCTAGACCACAAAAAGGATAAGCAACCATGGACTGATTAACACTTGCTGTCAGCTGTTTTTGATTGTGCTTTGTACCGTCGAAATGCAAAGCCTTCCTCTAAGATTTGCGGGGACCGCCCTCTCCGCTGACTTGGATGGGGTGAGCTGGAGGTCATTCAGGAATTCAACTACCTGGGCAACTGTATTCACATCAATGAAATGCATGAGACCATTAATATATAGCGAAAACTCAAGGTGCTTTTGCCAATCTTTACCACCTGTGGCGCGGGTACGACATCACTCTCACTCTGAATAGTTGAGCCTATAATGCGGCCGCCCGTACAACCCTACTGTACGGTTTTGTGGCTTGGCCAAACTGCTAATTGAGTTTGAAAGTCGGTGCCTTCGCTGCTGATGGGAACGCAGTATGAGCAATGTGCGTGTTCGGTGTCTTGTTTAGGGCGCAGGAAGGGCGAGTGAACCGTCCAGCACTATTGCTTCACGCACCAGGCTCCGATTGCTCGGTTATGCCAGCACATCGACTTCCGCAATGTGCGTTGTTTGGGCGACCGGAGTCTGGATGGGAGGAGAGACCAACCGATTACTTGATCAAGATGTATAAGGTCCTTTACTTCGGAGGTTGGAGCTTATCGACTTTTTGGTTGGGGTCCGAAAAACTGGTTGAATTGTATCTTATCTCTTTTGTATTGCGTCACATTAGCTGAGATGTAGTTCTCCGCTAACGTGTGTTGATGATTGATGATGGTTGAATACAATTGTTACACGAGTGCATAGAGCACTTTCTTGACTTGCTTGAGAAAAAGCCGACCTCAGTGACCTTTGTGCCATTTCTTTATCCGTTATCATACTGCTTAGCTTCTCTATCTTTTTCACTGCATAATATAAAACAAGGCATCACAATACTTTTGTTTTGCTAGCTGGATTTTTCCTTTTCCTTTTTAACTATCGTTTAAATGCATTGTATTGCGATACAATAACTGGGTTGTTTCTCACTCCTGGCTAAAGTGTATTATGATGACGATGATGTCTCTATGTCGCATCTAATGCTTTGAGCACCTACACATTATTCCCATATCCAGGCCATATTTTTTAAGGTGACGCGATGCACAAAGCTTGACTCGGACAAAAGTTGACTCTGCAACGCGAAATGAACTTTTTACTAACAAAACCGGGTTCCGTCAGTCCGTCTCACCTTCTAGGCTGTAGTCCACGTGACTCGCCTTGTGCTTAGCGCGTGACTTTACAGGACATATAATAATGGATAATTTCTCTTTAACTCTGAAGCTGCGTCCATATTTGGTGCGGATCAAATATATACAAATAGCACAATGATCTTACATGGGCAATATCAATTTGTGGTGAATAAAAAACAAAGGTGTATCTCTCGTCGGTGCGAGGTACCGTCCAGCTGCATGTTACGATTTTTGGTGTACGGCAAAATCGCAAGGAGCAGGTTGTATTTTTTAACTTTTCCAAAACAGTCCTCAAGCCTTATTGCAGACATGGCTAATTGGTCGGTTAAATATTTTGGGAGGATTGTGAGGTTTTAAAAGATAACAAGTAAAGATAAATAAAACGTATACATGAAGTAATACGACCATTACTGGGACCGCCTCCTGGGGATCTGCTTTTA